GCCAGTAAAGCCCAAGCACTCCACACTCCAGTAAACCCTCTGCAGTCAGGGTGGCAGCACCAGGCGCTGTCACTGTCCCTGGCTGCATGGCACCCGTGGGGACCATGCCACGGTTAAGCCCTCCACCAGACACTCCTCTAGGGGTAAATCCCCTCTGCACTCCCCACCATTAGCTGGTAAAGGAGGACTGGTAAGTGTGGGTCACCCCATTGCTACCTCTGTCCCCCACAGTGTCGGACCCCAGGCTGCCCTAAAGGGTTCTGCCAGCCCAACCATTTCCTCTAAGCCACATGGAGGCTCTACTCCCACCCCTATAACCCCCGCTGCCTAGAAAGAAGGCTTTGGGGTTGCAGTGGGGGCCAAACCCTGCTCCAAACCAGCCTGGGGAGATACCAAGCCCAGAGACCCAAGTGCTGACACCTTTCCCTGGCCATCAGCACACCAGAGCCCTTCCCTGGAGCATCCCTGCCGTGGTCCTGCCATGCCCATGCCATGAACCACAGCCTCCAGGGAGGTGACTTCCCCATCCCCACGTTTCTTGCGTGAAACAAATCCATTTTGCAAACAGGGATGTCTCTGGTGCGGTCTTTTGGGACGTTCGAGTACCCAGCTACAACAGCGTCAGGATCTGCCCTCTTCCTCCCCATCGCCTTGGCGGGGCGGGCTAGGAAGAATGCGAGTTGGCTATCCATCAGGGAGACAGAGCAAGAGCCAGCCGAAGAAAGAGGGGCATTTTAGGAGGAAAGCCAGGGAAATTTGATCATTAAGAAATCCTCCTGGCTGTCTGGGGGAATTTAATTAAATTGCTGGAAAGGGCTGCACGCACATCTGGATCCAATATGTGCAGCTTTGATTTTTTTCTTTCTTTCTTTCTTTCTTTTTTTTTTTTTTCTTAGTTCACTCTTTTCCCATCTCGCTGTTGAAGGAGGGGAGGGGGGGGGGAATAAAAGGGAAATAGCAGAGCCACGGAGCATTGGTTCATCTGGGACTGGGATTCCTGGCAGGGAAAGAAAGAGGGAGAGAAAGAAAGAGCAAAAGAAAGAGGCAGAAGCAAAGGGAATAAGAAAGCTGGGAGAAAAACCCTTCTCCAAGGGCCTGGCTGTGTGTTTTATAATGCCACTGACCGCAGAGACAAGGAGCTAGGAGGGAACGGGGGGAGCTGTGAGAGCTGGAGGGGAGCGGAGGAGAGGAGCTAGCCCAGGGCATGCTGCGCCTTTGGGGTCTGGCAGCGATGGAGGGGGAAAGAGGAATTGCTCAGTAGATAGAGAAATACCATTCCTGCTGGGAGCCACAGGCCCGGCTCGGGGCCCTTAGGGATGGGGCAGGATGGGGATCTCTGGCCCCCAGCCCTGCCAGGGCATGGCGCTGGGCACAGCTCCCATTGGAACAGATGGGGCAGGCAGCCCTGCTTTCCAGAGCCAGGTAGGGACTGATCCCCAGCCATTCGCTCCAAGAGCCAGTCACCAGGTCCTGGCCTGGTACCCCCAAGGCCCACTGTCTCCCATACTCCATACTATTTCCTCTACTCCAAACATCATTATGGTGGAGCAAAGAGCATCTCCGTTCCACCCCCTTCCACCCATGGAGGATATGAGTCAGACAGCCCAGTTTCTCCACAATATAATAACCAAAGGGCAACAGTTGGGGAATACGAAGAACGAGCGCATGGGTACTGAAGGGAGCAGCACCAGCCCAAGCAGTGCTCCAAGGATGCTGCCCCATCACACCCCAACTACCGCCGCATTTTGGGAGTGAGGAGGAGGTCTGGGGATGGCAGAGCGCATCCGGATCCATGGTGAGCACGGTGGAAGCTTGAGATGTTATCACAGCCTGAGAGAAATGTCAGGAAACCCCTAGGAGGGCACAGAGTGACATTCCCAAAATAGATCCCTTTTCTCCCTTAAAAGAGAGGAAGATGAAGGACTGACAAACAGAAACACATTCATCCCAAGGGCTGCAAACCTGGAAGGCTCTGGCCACATGAATCCCTGAGGAGCTTGGCACAGCCTTGCCAGCTCTGGTCCATCAGCCCATCAGCTCCAAAGCCGGACTCAGCAAAACCCAGGCACATGGCATCAAGCAAAACATCCCTGTTTGGCTTCACCTCCAAACCATCCCTGCTTTGCCCTTCCCAGCTCCAGGATCCAGTTTTAATCACCTTAAAGATACGGTTTTTACCCTAAAAAAAACACCCCAAAAAGAGCTTGCACAAGAGGGTGAGGAAACACCAGGAGGGGGGGGTTCAAACAACCGGGTCTCGCTTCGGATGCCTTGTGTGGCTGGGGGAGTTAAAAAGGAATGATGCTGAAAAGAAGAAGGGGGAGGGGGGGGGGGGGGGGGGGGGAAAGGGCAAATCCTGCAGCTAAAAAGGAAATTGCATTAATACAGATTGTTTTATTTAAAAAAAGCAAAGCCTGACCTCTACTTCAAAAAAGTCATTAGACATTCCCCTTCTGAAAGGCCGACAGGGGATATTACTGAAAGGCCAGTTAATTTCTCAATGACTTACTGTTCTTGCTCTGCTCATGGAAATGTGTAAAGAGTCGGAGGGTAATTTAAGGCACCCTGCAGAAAGGTGTGTAAATCTTTGCATGTCTAAAGAAACTTTACCAGACCGCGAGGATTGGGAAAAAAGGAACGTGCTTGCCCCTCTTTTCTTTTTCTTTTTTTTTTTAACTTTCCTTTGGAACTCGGATCCCCTTTGATCATAAAAAAGGTCATATTTCACCCAAAAAAATATCAGCAATCACAGGGCCCGAGGAAGTGCGAACCCAAGGGGGTTTCACCGACGATTATTCCCTCCATTTAATTATTTAATGCCATGAACCGAAGGAAAGCCGTCTCCCCTGGAAAAGCCAGACAGTTCAAGAATAAGGTCTGGCCCTGAACAAGGAGGAGGAAGAGGGTTATAAATGGGGCTGGGGCTGCTCCATCCACCCTCCTGCCCTCACCCCTTCATAGGCCAAGACCAGCCACCCCTTGCCCCCCCCCCCCCCCCCCCCAAATAATCACAGCAAGATGTTCCCAGCCTTGGGGTGAAGGGGAAATGCTGGGGAAGGAATGGGGGCTTCTCACTGCTCCAGGCCCCTGTTAATGCTGAGTGGCCAGTGGGTATCACCAATGGGTCACTGTCCTCCAAGGGGATGTCTCCATCCCCCAGGTTGGTCCATGAGGTGTTCCTGGACATGGCACCATCGCCATCCTGGGAAGGGTCTGTACCTGCAGCCATGGTGACGAAAAGTAGGATCAAGTGGGTACCTCGTGAAGGAAGGGTGGCATGAGGCTGTGCTGGGTCACCCAGGGTCTGGGGGTCCTGAGGGTAATGAAGGCATCTCCCACCCAAGAGCAGGGAGAACCAGGAGGGCTGATGGCCATATATCCAATCTATGCAATATAATATATGATACATGTCATCTATATCCTAATAAACCCATTGAGTGCATAACCACCGTGCACAGCATCACCCTGGCACCACCCACCACCGGGGACCCATCCAGCGGGGTGCTGGGCAGAAGTAAAACACCCGTCCATGGGGAGCAGCCCTAGGGACGCAGGAGCAGAACATGGTGTGACAACCAGCCCGTGATTTACACAGCCAAGGCGGCAGGACCAGACAGCGGAGCTGACTCCTAAAGTGCCACCAGGGCCAATAAATGGGGCCAATAGGGCCAATAAACGGACCCCAGAAAAGCAGGCGAGGGGAAGGGAGGTTGGCTGGCTTGTTTGCACACTCGAGGAGCCCCCCGCGGAGTCGGAGAGAGCCAAAATCTGCCTTCAGCTACACCCTTTCCAAGCTGGAGAGCTCTGGGAAGCTGCTTCCCCGTCAGGAAGATCAGATTTGGCAGCACTGGCTGGCTTCAGAACCCGCACGCCTCCGACTTGAAGGGGAAGAGAGCGCAAGAAAAGCTTTCGACAAATGTTAAAATAACTCAGGCAGGGGTTTGCCTCCCTCGGCCGCGCTGGAGCGGGGATGATGTTTATGAGCTCAGAGCTGGGCTGCAGCGAGCGGCCCATCTCGCTCCGAGATGTGGGCTTGAACCCTGCGGGCGCGCAGCCCCGTCCAGATGTGCCTGCAGCGCCGGGCAGCAGAGCGCGGCTGGAGCCGGGGAGGGGGGAATCAGAACCGTTCACCTCTCATTTCTGCTCATGCCCCCAGCCCTCGCTGGACACCAGTAACAAGCCCCCCTCCCTCCCACCCTCTGCATGTATCTCTCTCTCTATATATAAATATCATTTTTAAAGAGGAAAACTCCCTTTTCCCTCTCCCGGTGGCTGGTTTTCATTAGGGAGGTTTCTTTCTAACCCCAAGGGAAGCAGCCTATGAGTTTTTAACTGTGGTGCAGGACGTAATTATCTCATTAAGGCGAGAGAGCCAGGCTTTTCCCAGGAGAGGTGACCCTGCTCAGGGGTTGATGGCGACCGGTTAAGGGGGGGGGGGGTTGGAGGTGGAGGGGGACCGTGTCCCCCCGCTAACCTGTGGGTCACCTCTCCCTCCAGCCCCATTTGGGAATGGGTTTCCCCAGCTCCTCTCTCCCCCATCCCTCCTCAAGCAGCGCAGCCACTTACACTTGTTGATAGAAGCACTTAAAGCAGAACTTTGGGGGGGGGGAAATGATGTGGATGGGGTAAGGGGGGGGGGGGAAGCGGGTCTCCCTCCCTGTGTCCCCCCCCTCCCCTTTCCTCGGCTTGGCTGCCGGCGGTGCTCGGCCCCTGGCAGGGGGCAGGTCGCCGTGCCGGGGCGGGGGGGGGGGGGGCGAGGGGCCGCCCCGCTCTGCTCGGAGCAGGGGCGTTTGTTTGAACAGCTCCAGAGCAAAGAGCAGGGGAAGAAAGTTTGGGCTGGGAGCGTGGTTTTTTCCCCAGACGTCAGCACAAGGCGGAACAGGGGCTGGGGAGGGAGCCGGGCTCCCAGGGCAGCCGCGATTTATTTTTTTCCCCCCATTTTTAAAAGAAAAAATTTTTTTTTTCTTCCTTTTTTTTTTTTTTTGGGGGGGGGGGGGTGGGGAGGGGAAGGGGGCCGGGAGCGGCCCGGCACCTCGGGGTGGGCTGCGGGCTGGGGGTGGGAGCCATGGACTCGGCGCCAGCCTTCGCCATGGACAAGCCGTTCGCCCCCAGCGCCGTGCGCGGCCCGGAGCCGCCCGAAAACGCTCAAAGCCGGAAAAACTTCAGCGTGAGCCATCTCCTCGACCTGGAGGAGGTAGCGGCCGGTATGAACGGGACCCCTCCGGCCGGTCCCCCGCCCGCCGGTGGCGGTAAGGCCGTGCCGGAGCCGTCGGGAGGCAGCAGCGGCAGCGAGGCAGCGCCCCAGGACGGTGAGTGCCGGCGCCCCGGGATGGGCCCCCCCACTCCCGGGTTGGGGCAGCTTTAGGGATGGGGTGTCCCCGCCGTCGGCCAGCGGATAAAAGGGCTCGGTTTCCCCCCGCGGCGGGGTTGGGGGCACCGGGTGGGAAAGAGGGGTGACCAGCGTCGGGGCGAGGTGTGGGGATGACGACACCGCGACGGCTGGGCCAGAGGGACCCCGCGCCGGGGGACGGGGACATCGCACTAGGAGACAGGGATCCCGAACCGCGGAGCGGGACCCTGCACCGGCCGCCTCCCCGCTAGCGCCGGAGATGCCGGGTACGGGCCGGTCCCGGGCGGCCGGTGCCTCCCGGGGCTGCGCGGCCTGCGGGGTCCCCCCTTTCTCCGGGGTTCCTCGCCTCGGTTTCCAGGCCTGGGGAGCGAAGGCTGCCCGGTTGGGCCACGGGAACCGGGACGCAGAGAGCCCGCTCCCGGTGGCCGCCGCAGAGCGGCTCCCATCTGGTAGCAAAGGCAGCAACGGGCCGACGGGGACGGAACTGTGATGGGAAAGGGGATGGGGATCGACCCGGGATCCGGCTTCGTGGCGCTCGGTCCTGGCAAGAGGCACGTTTTTAACGGGAGAACCCTCCTGCCCGCATCCCTGCGCGCCGCTCCGCCGGCCCCGGCGCGTCCCTCCCTGCTCCGGTGCCCGGGGCTGCTGCGAGGAGGATTTGCCTCGTCCCTGCGGCAAAGCAGGGAATGGAGAAGGCGAGGGGAGGCAGAGCGTGGGGTGGAGGTGCCCACCCCGAGGGCACCGTTGGGTGACATCCCCCAAACCTGCCTCCCGGCTGGGTTTTGGTACCCCAAAGCTTGTTTTCTGCAGCCCCTTGAAGCACAGCTCGGTCAGGCTGCACAGTCTACCCGGGAATCAGTGCTGCCCAGACCTGCGGTGAGGGGCTCCCAGTTGGAACCCCACGTGCACAGGGTGCTCCCTCTGTCCCTTCCCGTGACACACAGATCTAAAGCGTCTTTCTTGCACCCACTGTACAACCTCTGCACAACCACTTTCCTGCACCGAGAAAACTCCTGAGCCCCAACCTGCCTCTGCTTGGGATGCTGAGGGCTGAGCGAGGCTGGGTGTTGCGTTCGGGATGGTAGCTGGTATTTTGGGCATTATTTTCCATCCTCCCTTCTCTTCTCATGAGTTCTGTTTGTACTTCTCATACTGCCTTTGGGACTGCGGGGAGGTTTTCACCCGCCGATGGGACCATACGGGGGACAGTCTGTTGTGTGGGATCAGTGCAGCTTTTGGAAACGCAGCCCAGCCCGACACAACCAGCTCAGCTCACAAGGGTGTTTTGCAAAACGGCAGAGAAACTGCCACCCTGCAGAGCTCCTCCCGCACCCCAGAGAGGCTCAGTGGGTACCAGGGATGATAAATACCAGAGAGGAGAGGCAAGGGGGATGTCTGATCCCCCAAGCCCTTTTTTCATCCCAAAAGCTCATTCCACCTCGGGCAGAGGCCCTATGGGGTTTGTCTAGTTGATCCCAGCACTGCTGGACCATGGGGGATATTTCCCATTGGCACCTGTTTCGACGAGGTTGCAGGGATGAAGACACCATCAGCATGTGGGATGCTCCAACAACCTGTCCAGGAGTGGAAGCATTTCTCCTTCTGATCCCACCTGGAATGAGAAATACCCGAGGGCTGAGAGCAGCAGGCAAGAAGAGAACAAGGAAACAAGAAAACCCACGTGCATGCACACATTGACTTGTGAGACCCGTTACCCACTGCCACGGGCTTAATTGGGGTGCAGTTTCCTAAATTGAAATGGGAAGACTCCAAATACCAAGCAAATGCCCTGTCTGTGAGTATCAGCCTTTCGCTACACATCTGCGATGCTTTCGGCATCAGCGTGATGACAGCAGAGGAACTTTTACTGGAAATGTTATCTTTTATTGGCATCCTAAAGTAAAACAGCCTCTCAGCGTTTTCTCTCATCCTCCTCTACCATTGTGGGCTTTTCCTGCCAGATGCAAGTTCGGAGCCCCGCAGGTCGGTGGCAGGGGGTTTATTACCAATGCAAACGGACCCTGGTACCCGAGTGTGTCTCTGCAGGATGTGGCTCTGCTGTTATCAGGGTCATCGCACCGCTGGATTGGAGGAAGAGCAGCCCCGAAGCTGCCGGCACGCCCTGCATCAGGCAAGGCTCGCTGTGACCCAGGGGCACAGGGATGCTTTAGGCTGTGCCCAGCAGACTGCGACCTCCACAAACCCCCCTCTCTTTCCCCAGGCAGCTGCAGCAGGAGGAGGCTTCTGTTCCCAAGGCTGGCAGAGCCAGAGAAGCTTGGGGCAGGGGGTTATTCTTTGCATCCCTATCCCAGAGCCCTGCTTTCTATCTCCATCTCCCCATCTCTCTTCGCAAGGCTGGCACATCCCTTCCCACTGGCACTGAGGACCAGAGCCGTTCCCATCTCCTTCTCCATCCAAGGGAGCTGCTCAGTCCTTGCCTTGGCCCCATCCCCAGCCTGGCCCTGAGGGCACCCGGCACATCCCGATGTGAGGATACAAATACCCATGCAACACGTTGCTCTCGTGAGACCCAGAAATTAAGAGACAGAAATCACACCAGTGAGGCAAGAGCGTGGAAATGCCAACAGGGGGGCAAAGGCTCGTCCCCACGCTCATCTTCATCCTGCCCTGGAGCGGTGCAGCAGCCTCCCATTGAAAACCTTCGGCACAACTTCTGAGGTCTTGAAAGCTTGTTCACCTCCTTTCATTAGACTAACAAATAATGTGTAACGCGAAACATCTGTTAACAACAGCCCTTAATGTTCTCAAGATGATAAAGCAGGAGGGTAATTTTAGCCAGCAGGCCTTGACTGATGGCTTTTCAAACAATGAACTTACTTTTGGTGCCGCCTGGGGATGGGAGAGGGAGCCGGGCGCTGGCTCCGGCAACAGCTTCGGGGCTGTAAAGTCAGAAAGAGCCACTTTTGTCACAGCTGGGCTCAGAGGAAGGGCTGCAGACCTTCCAAAGGGATCCTCCGGCATGGGGCAGGCAGGCATTGCCCTTGCCCGTTCGGTGGGAGCAGGCAGTGGCATGGGGACATGTGGTGGCCCCTGGACATTACATTTGCAGAGCTCTTCAAATTGAAAGGGCTCTTGGGGCCCTTTCCTCACCCCCAGGGCAGCCGGGACCCTCCGACCTGTGCTGAGGCTGAGCAGAGCAGTGATGAAGTGATAGGAGAGCTGCACCCAGCGGGCAGAGGGGATTAAGATGGTGTTACAGCAAATTGGTTTTAATGACATAAATGAGGGCAGTTGGAAAGGGAGAAGGGAGGGGCAGGGACCTGGTAACAGAGTGGAAAAGAGGAAGGGACTTGCTTTTGGCGTCAAGCAGCGTCTGATTGCCCCAAACAGTCCTGAGCTGCTCCCAGGGCTCAGGAACCTTCCCCAAGGCAGCGGCATCCCAGTCAATGCCCCCATGGTGGCCCAGGGGCTGTGCTGGTCCCAGGGCTCACAGGACACAATTCATCTGCGGCTCTCTGCCTTCCCGAATGCCACTCATCCCTCTGAGACAAGGGGCACAGCTCAGGGATGCCTTGGCCCCTTCGGCTGCATGGGCAGGAGGCAGCCCTGTAGCACCACAACTGCTGAAACAGGGCCGGGACGTGCCCATAGGGATCTGCCTTCCCTGGGACATCCGTGCACGTACATGGTTTGGCTGCAATTAAACCCGATGTCATTAATCCGTGGCCAACCCCCTGTGCTTGCCTCAGGGTAATACAGACCCTTGGAACCAGCAAGGCTGAGGCCCCCCTGCCCTGTAACTCCAGACCCATCAGACCCCTCTCTCCCACAGCCCCAAAAGTGCTGGAACCCCCCCAAGTCCTTTTGCTGGGAGGCTTTCCATGGTTTGTGGATGATAGCTCAGGGGGGGGACAGGGATGTTGGGACCCCAAATCACCTCCTGTGGTAGGGAAGTCTCTTTGAGAAGTGTCTGATGGACACGGCTGCAGCTGTCCAAGGAGAGGCTCTCGCACTTTTGTCCCCCAAAGAAGGGGACAGGAGGGGTCCCTGCTGCTCAGGGGGCCACCGTGACCTGCTTGCCCTGGCTGAGGGATGAGGTTGGGATGCAGAGTGGGACACGACCCGCTGGTGCTCAGCAAGGCTGGGGTGCAGGTCTTACAGCACCCATGGCCCCTTGCCACATCCCCAAAACAGGCGTCCCTGTCCCTGTCATCCTCCCAGGCTGTCAGGGCCCTTGTTGGGGACAGTCCCTGTGTGGCAGAGCTGGGAGGTGGCATCTGAAGCAAGGGGGAAGCAAACCATGTCAGTCCTTGTAAGGCCAGCATGGATGGCACCGGGATGAGAGCCACCTTGCACAGCCATGACACTCAGTGACGAGACATCACCTTCACCATCCCCAGCACCTACCTGGGGACATCTCCTTGCCTGGAGGGCTTTGAGGGCTGCAGAGCCCAAGACAAGGGGTTTATTTCCATAGAAGGACGATGCTCACGGGGCTGCTGGAGCAGGATGGTCTCCAGGAGAGAGAACAGCACCGCTGGACTATGTGCCCAAGACCAGCACTTGCCCAGTGCCTGACACTGGCAGGTCCCCAGCGCAGCATCCATCAGCAGGGATTGAGTAAACGCCAATTAATCCGGGCGGGAGCGCTCCGCCCCGGCCCGCCTCCCACCCTCACATTTGTTTGCGCTTAGTGCGAGGCTGGCGACAGGCGAGGGATGGATGAGGAGCCTGACGTGTCCCGGCTCGCTCAGACGGTTTCCAGCCGCTCGCAGGGAGCCCAGTGTATCCCAGTCTGGAGAAAACGGGGATATGGGGACAGAACCGCCCCCCTCCACCTCTCTGGGCTGCTGCAGGGAGCAAGGGACAGCCCCAACCTGCAGCATGATCCCTGCAGCCAGGCTGTCTGCTTCCTTACTGGGGACACCCCCTCCTATGGCTCTTGCCCTGGGACACTGGTCCCATGTCCCATGGATGAGGGGAAACTGATTCCGCAGGTGTCACCCATCCAAAAAACATGACAGGGAGGACGTTTGGGAGTGATGCTTTTCCCATAGCGCAGGCAGGACAAGAGGATGGGTCAGGTCACAGCCCTGCCAAAAGCAAATGGAGCAGCACAAAAAGCCCTGCCAGGCACAGGCAGGGAAGCTCAGGTCTCCTGAGGCTTCTGCCATGGGGCACAGCCTGATACCACTGCTCTGTGCTTCCCTGTGCCTTCCAGCCCCAAAGGGTGACAGCAGCTCACCATCCCGCTCCTCTGCATGATGACACCCGCTCCCCATCCCATTTCTCCCGCAGCGACACCCGTGCAGCATCCCGCTCCTCCCCATGCACTAGGAGGATGTTCTGCCCCTGGGATGCAGCCGGGCTCTTACTGGTGGCATCTGGGCTCCAATTTTGGGGAGATTTGTCCCCATATGGGGTGAACACCCCCACCCGGGCTCCAGGCTCCCCCCACGGCAGCCTGGGGAGGGCTTTGGGTTGGAGCTGGAGCTTGTGCAGCCCCGGGAAGCAGCGCTGTTAGCGCAGAGCCCTCCCCAGGGGCGCAGGGAAACACATACCAGCACGTCCTGTGCAGCGTGCGCAGGGCTCTGCGGGGTCCCCACACGTGCTTGATCTGTGCTGGGAGCTGCTGCCAAGGGGTGAAGAGAATGAAAACCCCAAACCAGGGCCTGGGGAGATGGGACCCTGAGAGCCGGAGCAGCCTTGGCTGGGACAGAAGGGCAGGAAAACCACTTTTCCCCCCACTTCCCGTTGCTGGGATTTTCCTCCCCTCAGCACACCCAGTGAGCTGGGTTTTGGTAGGCGTTGCTGCGGGGAACGCTCATTCCCACCCCTGTTTCCAGCAGGGAAAGGTGCAGGAACATGGAGCAGAGTCTCAAGAGCCGCTGCTCAGCATGGTCTGAAGGGGACAGCGCAGGGGTCCCACCTGCAGTGGGGACACAGAGCATTGCCCCACTCCCTTGTAAGCCCCAGCAGCACCCACTGATGTGTTCTAAGCCCCAGCAGCGCCTCAAATACCCCATGGCACAGCCATTGCCCAGCCCAATAGGGTGCCAGGGCATGGGGACACCTTGCTGTCCCCCCTGGGCTGTTATGTCTAGCTCGACCAGGAACAGCTCAGTGCAAGACTATTTCCCCTCTCCTTTTGGGCTGTTATTTCAGGGAACGGGGCTGATTCACAGGAAAAATATGAAATTTCGACTCCGTGCAGCCAAGATGGGGCCAATTTCAACGAATCAGCATTTTAAGAGAGCCTGGGCGTGTGTCTGTAGCTGGGAGGCTGATGAAATGATTTGGGGCTTTGAGGCTGTCTCATTAGAAACCCTCCTCTCTCCCAGGGAGCGGGATCACCTCTTCTCCCAGGGCTGATTTCCTCCGGCCCCAGGGAATTATCCCCCTCGAGCTGTAAAATCACTGAGCAGGAGGGATGAGGTTTGAAGCAGGATGGGACCTGGGTGCTTTGGGGATGGCAGAGCCTCGGGATCCCCAGGCTGGCAGCTTGTCCCCTCCCTGCCACTGGAAGGAGGTACCCTCCCAGGATGGGATCCCTGAACCATGGAGCAGGCTCAGAGCATCCTTTAAGATGCTGGGCAGTGGGTTGTGGCTGGGACTAGGCAAGGATTTAGACCAGGATTAATGCAGTTCTGTTCTTTATTCCTGGCTGGAAAAGGCAATGGGAAGAGGGTGAAAGCCTGATGGGCAGAGGCAGTTATCCCCTGCCTGGTCCTGGTGCCTGCAGAGGACCAGTGATGCTCAGCCGGGTCAGGGAGGATGGGGAAAGCAAGCCCTCTTTGGGTTGGGCTGATCTGGGGTTTCGAGGTGTTTTTCTCATGCAGAACTGGGCTGGTTTTCACTGGATGCCCCCGGATTTCTGGGAATTAAAAGAAAAACCCCACCCTCACCCTTGAGGCATTCCCAGCGTTCGTGTTCGCCCAAGGGACACGTGCCTGTGGGGAATGTTTTCCAGCCTTCCCATAGCGTAATGAAATGGCTCCATCCATACTCAGCATCCCTCGCTGGATGTGTGCTTCCCTTGGGAAAACCATCCGCAGCACTGGGATCTGCTGGGAACATCTCTGGGGGCATGGGGGGATCTGGTTCCAGCCCCTTACCATGGGCATCCCGTGGTGGCAGCTCTGGCTGCACAGCCCCTAGCAAGGAGTTGTGGGGTAAAAGGGATACTGATGTTGGATGAGTCGGGGGGAAATCATCCCAGCTTGGTGGGGAGTGACACCTCTTTGGGGATATAAGGGGGACAGATGGAGTCCCCTTTGTCACCCCCATTCCCTGCAGCTCTGCTGGGACTGCCCCATCCAGGGTGCAAAGGGCAGTTGGGGGGGGGGGGGGTGTTAATTGAGCAGGAGGTGTAATGAGGCCATAGAGCTGCTCCTTCACCCCGGGGCTGGAGGGAGAACAGTGCAAAGCAGGGCTTGGTGGGGGGGAAGCTCAGGTCCCGGGGGGCAACTCAGGTCCCAAGGGGTTGTGGGTCAGGCAGGGAGCCTTCAGAGAGCAGCAGCGCCAGCCGCCGGCCCCCTCCCCTTCCCTCCTCATCCCCCTTTGGAGCGCATATAATAAAGCAGCTTTTCAGCTGCGGCTGCAGTGATAGATCAGGAAGAATTGTATGAGTCTATTAAAGTCTGTGTGTCTCTGAATGGAGACTGTGGCTAAGCCAGGCGCCAGGCTCGCGCATTGAACCAGATGTGGAGAGGCGCCATCCTTTCCAGCCACTGAATCCGAGAGGCTGCAGGCTTCACACGCAAGGAAACTGGAGTGCACATGGCAGGGGAGCCGGGGGAGCAGCGGGGAGCACATGGCAGCGCTGGCGGGAGCGGGGCAATGGGGAGGGGGCACAGCCCCGGCCCTCCTCACAGCGATGGGAACCGAGCTGCGGGGAGCAGCCCCGGTACAGGGCTGAGCTGAGGGGTTGGTGCAGCGGGACATTGGTGGGCTGCACGGCGAGGTGTTGGTGGGGAGGTCGGGATGCACCCCGAGCTGTACGGGGCTGTGCAGGGGGTGCACGGAGGTTGTATTGTACCCCGAGTCGTGCAGGGGTTCTGCGTTGTACCACAGCTCATGTAGCGTGTTGCTTGGATGGGGATTGCTTTGCGCCCCAAGTTGTAGAGGGCAATGCGATGTGTGTATGGGGGGGGTTATCTTGCACCCCAAGCTGTAGAGAGCATTGCAGAAGGACAGTGTGGCATTGTATGCGCAGTCATGCGGGGGAATTGTGTTATACCTCAGGTTGTGTTGCACCCTGAGCCATGCAGAGCATTGCAGGGTCTGGGGGCTGTTGCATTGCTGCTGGGGGGTGTTGGGGATAGCAGTAGCAGTGATGCTGCAGGGGTGATACAGGGGATCCAGCACATATCAAATACCCTGGTCCAGCAGCAGCAGAGTCAAGGAGGGCAGGACAATGGGCACCTATCTCCAAACCCACTGGTGCTGTGGTGCTGCTCCTGCCTCTCCTGATGTGGGTCCAGGAGACAGAAGGGAAAGGAAAGGACAAAAAAGGAAGGAGGACAGAAGGATGCCATGGATGGCAGCTCCGGGTGGTGGTTGCTGCATGAACTGGGACCCCATGTCCCCAGCAAAGGTGTGAGGCAGAGTCCATCCATGCAGTGCTCTTGAGGGGGCACGGGGGATGTGGGGACGGCCACTGGCGCGGTGCTGCTCGGGGCTATGCTGGGCTCGGGGCGGTGGCCACGCTCCTTCCTCACCGGTTTCACTTTCTCGGCCACATGGCTGTAATTTGGGGTTGTAAATACCTCAGGGGAGTTTCTAAATGAAAAAAAAAAATCACTGTTTTCGTTTAAATTAAAAGACACTGAAACATTTCTATTACTATTAGAGGTTTATAAAACCTAAAACAAATGTCGGAACTAAACTACCAGGCATCGTCCACTCTGCGAAGCCCTTTGGATGCTCAGCACAACCCGTTACCCATCGGGGTTAAGTTTTAATGGGATTTGCGTGGAAGTGCCCTGACCCACAGCCTAGGACCCCAGCCACTGGTGCCAGCATGTCCCCAGCTTTGCTCCTGTCTGGGTTTGGGGCCTTGGTTAGTTGGGTGCTGGGGTCAGTGTGGCAACATGGTGCTTGGGCTCCCTGGGAACCTGGAGGGGATGAAGGCTTGAGGTGATGAGGATGAAGGTCTCAGCTCTATTGGGCTTTGCAGAATGGGACCCAAGCAGCTGCGCCCACCCTGGCATCACCAAGGTGTCCCCTGGTGTCCTCGCCATGGCTGGCATCTGTCCCCAGCAACCTGCCTGACACTCTATCCCTAATGTCCCCTGCCATCCCCACCATCCCTGCCACTCATGCTCTGCTTTAACCTGGAAACAGTTAACCAGGCTGGGTTTAACAGAAAAGGGGGGGGGGAAGGTACGAGCCAATTATTAAAATGAATGTTTTACAATAAATTTGGCGAGAGGCCACCGACCTCAAATGAGAACCAGACCGGAGGACAGCGATGCTGCGCGCTGGCGAGGCTTTCTGGGACGTCTGTGCATGCAGGCGCCCACGAGGGTCCTCCTTGGAGCCGTGGTGGGATGGGGTCCTGGATGGGGGCTTGTGTCCATCCCATGTCCTGCCC